TATCAATAGCGTAGCGCGCCAATGACGTCAGAGTGACTAATTTGCAATTTTTGTCTGAGTTTTGCCATTTTTCTCATTTTAATGACAAAAGACCGACAAACATGACATTTTTAAACAAAAGTGAGGAATTTGCTGATGTTTTATAAAGTTCAGTTTGTTTGTCTGAGTTTCGGGTCTATAAATAGAACTGCGCGCAGCGCTATTTCATCAGACCAAGCATCTAAATCACGTGATAAGGAAATGAACTTGGAATTCGAGGAGGTCACTTGAATGGAGACCACGTTACCTGTAGATAGCCTGTTCACAGACCCTCTATTTTCTCTTCGAAGTCCGTCGAGCCCGGAACAACGTTTGTGTACAGGCTAACCTCTAGAAAGAATTGGCGTTACCATATAGTAAATGAAAAAAGTCAATTTATGCATTCCGCACATTGCATGTCACTTCGAGCTGACACATTTTCTGTGCGAAGTTTTGTAAATGTTGAAATTAAGAGCAAGTTATTCAGAAAAAAACACATGAGTAGAGAGAAGCCTTACTTAAGAGAAAGGAAACACATAGTTGAAATGTCTCGCTTTAGCATGTCACTTTTTATATTGAGTTTAACAGCTTCTAATTGAAAGATAGCCTAGCTATAAGCTGGCTCCAAAGTCGTTGTTTTGGTTTTGTGTTTTTGAAAATAAAACGATGAACCTGAAACATCAGTTATCGAAGCAAAATGGACCGGTTTGGGAGCTAGGAACTGTGCTACTATTCAAAAGGTATTGATTTCAAAATTTGCCTTCAAACCCGAAAAGTTACCGGACCTATCAAGAAACAGACCCCAGAATGGTTGTTTCGGCATCCCGCCTTTTCCTAGCCTGCGAAGCGCCAGACGCATTTCCGGTCGTCGCTTCTCTCCTTTTTTCGAAGGGAGAGAAGCGACGACCGGAAATGCGTCTGGCGCTTCGCAGGCTAGCCTTTTCCGTACTTTCAATCGGGAATAGTGGCCCTCCATTTTTCATTTAAATGCCGAATCCCGCCCTTCAAATGAGGAAAATTCCCGCTTTCCGCAAACATATCGGGACCCTCTACACCCTAGCCTCCCCGCAGACGTCCTTTGGGGTTCGTGTGTGGGGAGAAATGAATGCGTGACAAACGAACCCCAAAGGACGTCTGCGGGGAGGCTATCTATACCCCTTTTTACACCACCCACACCCTCCACCCACCCCAATCGAGCGGAGAACACCATAACAACTCATTATGGGCAAGAGAGAATGAGTCTTGTTATGGGTTGTACCCCAAGGGGCAACCTCATTCTCACGATTGAAAGAATCTCGCAAATTTACCAATTCGGTCAAGACACGGAATGTTAATAGCCCCACCTGAAAAACACTGCAATCGCTTTAACGTCTTAACGTCTTTATTTTTTAAACAAAATGCGGTTTCCCCGATCTTGCAAAACGTAAAAACAGAAACTGCTTCCTGCATGAAGACTAAGACGAAGAGAGATGATTAACTCACCAGGGAGACTGGGGGTAGAGTTGATTTAGAGAACCTCTGGAATTTCTAGGTACGCCTCTGGACAGGCGAAAATTTAAGACAAAATCCATTAGGAAGTAGAGTAATTTTAGTTTTCAGTGGACAAAAACCTTACGCCAGAATAATTTCAATCCTATTGCATTCTGTTTAACACTTACAAATGTAATAGGTTATATGAAATAACTCCAAAGAAAATGTTCTTATGGGAGCCCGAGAAAACAATCTTCAAAAGCTTCAAATTTCACAAAATGAAATCTTGCTGAAAACGATTTTACCTATCACTTTCTCAATTCCTGAGAAATTTGAAATTTATTTTCTCGGGCTCCCATAGGAACCTCTTATTTGGAGTTATCTAATGTAACTTATTAGAAAAGAACATTCGTAGACCTTGAAAAGTGTAAAAAAGAATGCGATATGGCGTAAAAGGTTTTAGCCGGCGTGGCAGGCGTTAAAAAAAGGCCTGAAGGCGAAGGCAGAAAACACCTGCCACGCCAGCTAAAACGGTTGTTGTTCACATCAATCTCATGATGGATTTTTTTCCCAGTTCACTCTGATCGGCACCCTAAAAGATACGAGATCGAGGCACTGCCGTGAGGGGATTCGACCAGTGAGAAATTAAACCAAAGCCTCAAGTTGGTGCCTTAACAGGAAGTGGAAAAAGTATACATTATTACCCCATAAAACGAAACAAGTTTTGAGAGTTGCAGACTTTCATGGTTGAGGTTTAGTCTTGTCTTCGCTAGATTTGTCACTTTACGTTTCGCCTTTTCACTTTTCATTTGCCCGAATGGAGCTTCCGTTCACACATTACCCTGGGTACCAAGGGTTGTTTCTCGCGTGCGACTGGGAGCTTCGTTTTGTCGGCCGAAGGCCGAAGTCACGAGCGGCGAAGCTTTTCGCGCGGGTCACTTTTTAAGACTGACTGAAACCGGAAACCGCGCATGAAAAGCCTCTGGCACCCACCCAGGGTATTCACACATAAGAACGATGACAATTTTCGGCGGGATACGGATGGGTGTTTACACTACACCGGATATCTTTGGCGCCGGTACGGAAACCATACCGGATATGGCTTCTGTTCACACATAACAACGGTGATTTCGGTGTGATTTCTTTAATGTGGCCTGTACACGGACGTTGTTTTATTTTTCTTTTCGTTCTTTTCGAAAACACTGGCGTGCGCGAGAAAGAAAAATATTCCATCCTCCCTCACCCCTACCCCCTTGCGCTGGCGGTCAATAAATACCCCGCGGTTCATTTTTTATCACGCGCGCTCGACGGACTTTGATGAGAAAATAGAGGGTCTGTGAACAGGCTATCTGTAACGGAGCGAAGCTGCGCTTGGCGATCTCTAAAGTGGAGAGTCAAATCGGTCGAGTGGCCACATTATACCGAATAGCTTTTGTGTCGGCACTATAAGCTGTCCAGTATACAGTGTCAACATAGTCCAGTTCTGACTCCTCTCTCTGTCACGCAAAGCTGGGAAAGAGAGAGAGTCTCTCTCCCAGCGTTTCGTGACATAGAAAGAGGGAGAGGAGAACTGGAGTGAGTGTGAACATTGGTTTACTGTGACGGTCTCTTACATTCTGTTTATCTGAACGAGTTCAAAGCAGTCAGAGGAGATTGTGAAGTTAAAAACATTTAGGTTACTTTGTTGTCCCAAGACCGCGAAATATGGCTTCCCAATCTTGGCAAAATTTATCACACGTAAACATCTGTAACAGGTTAAACAAGTGCAACGAGAAATGAAAAAGACTATCGATTTTACCTGATTATAAAATTTAATTGCACATAGCTGCTCACATCAATCACTGTAATACACTACTAAGCGACACAGCCAAGCCTGACTAAAAATACCTCAATATATTTGGCTCTTCAGCATTTTTAAGCCTACCACTAGGTAATCTATACAAACATATTCTTAGCAAGCGAAAGAAGAAGGCAAAGTAATGATATATAATACAGTCAAAAAAGAGAATGCAGTTTCTTAGTCTGTGGCTTGTCATACGCAAATTCACCACTTGAAAAACGAGAAAAAGTCTGGGTCGAGTTAACTTACGCAAAGAACTCTGGGACTGTTACAAAGGACAGAGAAAAAAATTAACCAATAGCTGACCGGCGCGTCCCCAGTAGCGATCCCACAAACACTTGCGGGAAACACCTCTGCTCCAGTTTTCCTCATATTTCTAAGCAGCGAACAATGAACAAATTATTGCTTAATGACAAAAACCGGTGCAGACCAGAGGATTAGAAGTTAAAGCCTTTGCTTCCTCAAAACCAAAAAAGAGGAAAATACAAAAGCTTTACTAGAGAAACAATAATTATCCAGCTTATAGTAATGTAAATTGGTGCAAAGTTCTGAATGAAAAACAAAATATACAGATGACTTGATGTTTTGAACAAAATACCCAGTCTCGCCTCTTCCACCCTCTACCCCAATATGCTTTTTTGTGAAAAGGCTTTGGCAACAACTTACAAGGATTCAAAAGAGGAGTGGAGCCTGGGAACTGAATAACTCAGAGTGTTCGTAAGCCGAGTCTGTAACCTTGGCTCCTATTGAACAGTTATTTCATTCACCATACAGTCTCAGAGTACTGCCTTTTGATCAAAATAACCCTTGTTGTGTTGCAAAGTAAACATAAATAAAACAAATTCAGGGAGAAATGCTTTGTTCCTTTTACATACGGAAAAGCACAGCAACAGCATAAGCTGCAATAACCTCATTTCGTGAATAGAGCAGATCGGTCAGAGAAGCAGTTGCGTTTTCGGCGTCTCTGGCTTCAGCACCTTCTTTGTCCTGGGCTATTTCACAGAGCACTCCCGCAGTAACACGCTGGATTTTCTCGATGGGACAGTATAGAAGCTGAAAACAGAAAGGATCATTGTCTTATTACACTGTTTTTATAATGTACCCACGCCAACAGAACTCACAGGCCAATTTTAGCATTTCCACCAGGTAAATTTTCAAGGTATAGATTGACAGAAAATGCAGCGTGCAAAGGAAGTAGTCTCCGATCACATGAGGCTTGAGGAGTTTGCTATTGCGCTGGTGAATTCTGTTCTTAGCTTTCCCAATGGACAAGTGAAGTTTTCTGGGGAATTCAAATTACAGAAGAGTAATCTGAGTAATATTGTAATCCTGGTTTCAGGCTAGTTGAAATGAATTTTGGGCTAGTACATGCCAGTTACAACCTGCCTGACTTTCTTTGTACTTTGAGAATGCTACAATACTCGTCACAAATCGTTGAAACTGAAGCCGTGTTTCTTGAATTTTCTCCAAATTTCTTACATTCAGTCTTTACGCCTTTGTTCTCACTCAAATGTGCTCCTTTCCTTCCCCAATGTTGAGCCACGAGTATTTTGGAGCACTGAGACGACTGTAATACCCAAATCAACATTGGGGAAGGGGAAAATCACACAAGTGTTTCAAGATTTGTGACGAGTATTGTCTTTGCGTCAGTAGGGCGTGGACGGGTAACGAA